CTGTCAGTTTGTCTATTCAGTAAGGCAAACCAGAAGATATTGAATAGATTTTCTTTGATAAAGAAAGGAGGAAAATGGTGGTGTGCTGGCAGGAAATCCTATTGAAATTTCTAAATAGGTTATACAATGAAAGAAGTAACTACCACTTTTATTAAATGTTTGCCATTTTCTGAAAATTGTGCAAAACATTTTATCTGCTATTCATTTAAACATCACTGTAGACTTGAAAGGTAAACATTAATGTCCTCATTTTACAGATGAGGAAAAGTGAACTCGGGGAAGTTCATACATTGTCCAGGCTTGTACTGTAAGTGCTGAGCAGACCCTAAGCTAACTCTGTCAGACTTCAGAACTTGGTCTTGCCATCACAGTATTCCACCGTCAAGGTGCAAAAGGCTGTCATAGTCACCTGGTGTTAAATATGATAGCTTCTTTCTTCAGCAAAGAAATAATTTATGGTAGGTTTTTTGCTTTTCATAATAAAAAATCTTAATCATAGTTAAATTTCCTTTGACTAGCCCTCTGAAGCAGTTTGGATTTTTAGAGCTACAAATTAGTAATAGACATTAAATTGGGAAATTTGTCATAGATAATAATGTTCAGAATGAAATATTAATAGGGAATTATTGATATATTACTTTCTACCATTTATATCATCCATGTGTATTAATTTCTGGAGAACAAACGCTAAAGAGGATTGTTCGTCCTTTTTAAATAAACTGATATCACTGAAAATTCACTATTTAAAATCATTAGATAATACAGTCTTAGCTCTTAGTAAGAGCTTACAGATACTTCACAATACAAGCAAATCTCCTTGGATGCTTTTCTGATAAAAGGAACTGTGATTTTTGCACATATGAAAAATACCTTTAAATGTAGCACTAAAGAAGCAGTTACATTTTGGTGGTTCAGACTGAATGAATAAGAAGGCTAGTCTGTGAATTAGTTGAAAAACAAAAGAAACCGTGTTGTAGGGGAAGGTCTTGAAGGAATGATCTGGCCCTGAAATGAAAAAAGAAGGTGAGGTGATTGTGGAAACATTTGTGGTGGTGGGAGCAATAATTGTGATGAAAATTCATATTTGAGGGACAGTATTTGGAATAGAGCATATTAGACGGAAAGTGTTGGATGTGAGAATGTACTCATAACTGGGATCAGATTGTAGTAAATCACCAGTGCCATTCGAGGTTAAAACTTTTTTTTCTATACACTAGTATTTTTTCGAGTGGCACACACTGAATGGCACAAAGACAAGTTTTCTTAGTTTTTATCATTGTATGTTTATTTTGACGTGAATCAGAAAAAATATGGCTGCACATCAAATTTGGAACTTTACAAAGATTGCTTAGGAGATAACTAAAATACATTTAGGTTACACAAAAAAATATTGTTTAAAAAAATGATTTGTTAATAGTTGCTGATGACTTACTATTTACCAGGCCCTGTTAGAATATTTTCTATATATTAACCCGTGTGGAGAAAAGGGAACCCTCTTAGGCTGTTGGTGGGAATGCAAACTAGTACAGCCGCTATGGAGAACAGTGTGGAGATTCCTTAAAAAACTGGAAATAGAACTGCCGTATGACCCAGCAACCCCACTGCTGGGCATACACACCGAGGAAACCAGAACTGAAAGAGACATGTGTACCCCAGTGTTCATCGCAGCATGGCTTATAATAGCCAGGACATGGAAGCAACCTAGATGCCCATCAGCAGACGAATGGATAAGGAAGCTGTGGTGCATATACACCACGGAATATTACTCAGCCATTAAAAAGAATTCATTTGAATCAGTTCTAATGAGATGGATGAAACTGGAGCTTATTTTACAGAGTGAAGTAAGCCAGAAAGATAAACACCAATACAGTATACTAACGCATATATATGGAATTCAGAAAAGATGGTAACAATAACCCTATATGCAAGACAGAAAAAGAGACACAGATGTATAGAACAGACTTTTGGACTCTGTGGGAGAAGGCGAGGGTGGGATGATCTGAGAGAACAGCATCGAAACATGTATATTATCAAGTGTGAAACAGATCGCCAGTCCAGGTTGGATGCATGAGACAAGGGTTCAGGGCTGGTGCACTGGGATGACCCAGAGAGATGGGATGGGGAGGGAGGTGGGAGGGGGGTTCAGGATGGGGAACACATGTAAATCCATGGCTGATTCATGTCAATGTATGGCAAAAACCACTACAATATTGTAAAGTAATTAGCCTCCAACTTATAAATGAACAAAAACAAAAACTCAGTGTGATGGTGGATACTATCATTATATTCTTCTGATAGGTGATGCAGTGAAGGCACAAAGACATTAAATAACTTTTCCACAGCTAATAACTGGTGAATTCAGATCCAGGCCAACTTGCTTCAGAACCTGTGTTCTCAACTTCATTACCTTAAGGCACAATGTTAATGGACAGCTGTAGCAAGAATTGTGAGGGCTGTAGGCAGATGGCTTACCTGTGTGAAATAAAGCCTTAGTGGAGAGGAACTGTTGAAGTTCCTATATTGTTTTAATATAAATTTATTGTTTATAGTGCTTTATTATATTTTTGGAGTAACATTATAAATGTACTGTTTGATATAAATTGAAGTAATAGCAATATTCAGAATATGTTTTTTAATTGAGTTGAGGGAGTTGGGATTAAATTTAGGGACACCAGTTAATAATTGATTGTGTTAAGTCTAGTTTTGGAGAAAACACCTGAGCCAGAGTTTTTTAGGGGAAATGGAGAAAAGGGAGCTAGGATATAAGAGCCATTGAACAGAAAAAATGGGAAGTAAGAGAGGACTTGGGGGGGGGGGTTGTGAAGAGTCAGAGATCTATCCACCTTAAGAGCAGGATAATACCATTAGCAGAGAGAAAATCAAGAAAGGAACTTAAATAGCAGATGAATTTTGTTATAAATATATAATTTTTAAAAGGAATGTGAAAATCTAAGAAATATTTGATGGGCAGTTAGTGGTTATGAAAGTTAAGAAAGTAATTTTTCTGAAATTTTTTCGTTAACCCTTTTATCACTTATTTCATTCCTTATTCGTGGCCCTTAGTATGGTGGTCAGGGCTGGGGATATATGTTTAAAAAGTTACCTACTTAGAGGTGAATGTTAATACATAATGAGTAGCAGTGATGTAGGCCAGGTGTCTACAAACTTTCTTAAAGGGTCAGATATTAGATATTTTAGGTTTTGCTCACTAAGGCAAAATCAAATATAAAAACCATTTGTGGCTCACATGCCATTAAAAAATAAAACAGGCAGCAGGGCCAGATTTGGCTAACGAGATGCATAGTTTATCAGTCCTCAACATAAGCGTCCTATTTATATTGACATTTGGAGGTATTCCATCAGTTATTTCATTCATTTATAAAAGTTCAGAGATTTCATATGTTATCTTTCTGGACAGGACCTTACTCTGAGAGAAATGTTTAATAATGAAGTTTACTTTTAAGCAAATGTGTTAAAAATTGCCACAAACTAATGTAGAAATCTTAGCCTGCTTCTTAAAGACATACCAAAATTGGAGTTGGTAATTTAGCTATAAATTTGAGAAGCTTCATGGTCAAGGAAAGTTAGTTCGGTAAGCTCCTTTAAAACTATTTCTTTGTGAGATTTTGACACTGATACACGTCTGAAAATGATTTACTTGATCTTAGATGATTATTCGGATCACAGAGATTTTTACAGACAGAAGCAGTTTTGGCTCATGCCCAGTGAGGGCACACCTGTTGCTTGCTGTGCCAGGGCTTTGTTCTGTTCCTTCTCCAGGATGTTTGTGTCCTGCTGCGCATTGTCTTCTGAAAATTGGAAGTTGGTTTTATTTCTTTACTTCGTTACCTTCTCAGAGCTCAGATTAGTGCTGCTCTTTGTTAACTGCATCTTGATCTCTTGTGTTCATCTGCCTATAGAAGAAGACAGTACCAATTACCACTTCCTTTCAAAAACATAAAGTTTGTTATCTTTTTGTTTTCTTAAAAGTCAGTGCAAAAGGTAATCTTTAAGGGAATTCTTGAGCAGAATGATTGATGTGACTGGAAAGAACATTTATGATTTATATTCAACACTGCTAAGTAATCTTGTAGCTTTTGGTGATATAAGATGTAGCTTCCCTGGGGGCTTGGTGGTAAGGAACCCACTATCAGTACAGGAGACACAGGTTCCAGCCCGTGGGTCAGAGAGGTCCCCTGGAGGAGGCAGTGGCAGCTCGCTCCAGTGTTCTTTCCTGGGGAAGCCCATGGACAGAGTGGCCTGGCGGGCCACGTCCATGGGGTTGCGAAAGAGTTGGACATGGCTTAGTCACTAAACAACAGCAAATATAAGATGACTAATGCTTTGCAAGTTGTTGAATATAACCAAATTAACCACTTAAATACATATAACTTAAAGTAATTTTTCTGAAATTTTTTCGTTAACCCTTTTATCACTTCTTTCATTCCTTATCTAAATAGTCTGTTGAGATTTATTTTGTGTTCATAGTCCTATGAAAGGACTTCAGTAAAGATTTGTCAGTGCTCTTTTGTATGAATTTGAATCTCTCCATTGCAAAGTGTTTTTTGTAAAAGGAAGAGAAAAAAATAGGTAAGCTTTTTAAACATGGTAATAGTGAAAATTTCTTCATAGAGGATGTGATATCAGTTGTCAGTAGGTAATGAGAAAGTTGTTGTGGATAGGTTGGGTGAGTAATAACACTTATTATATATTCCAGATAACATTTAAATTGTGATTACTGAATACATTACTTAGAATTTTGTAATGAAGAAAATAATAAATTGATAATTTCATAACTTTCCATATAATATATTCATTTGAAAATGTTACATTCTGCTGACTGTTTGTCTCTGTATTTATTTTTAAATGTGTTAAAATTGAATCAGCTCCTGATGAAACACATAGAGCATTAGTAGTCCGTTCTCTACCTTAATGCCTGGTTAACACTGCAAGTGGCAAATACACTTGTCATGACAGTTTTTTCTGTTCTGAATTTGCAGTTCAGAATGCAGTGATGGAGAATGGTCTGCTTCTTTGCCGCATCGATTTTCTGGTACAGAGAAAGATCAGTCCTCGAGTGACGAGAGCTGGGAGACTCTGCCAGGAAAAGAGGAGAACGAGCCTGAGCTACGCAGTGACAGCAGTGGCCCGGAAGAGGAAAACCCAGAACTGTCTCTTCAGGAAGGGTATGCTAGCAGTGTGGTCTGTGACTCTCACGTGCTGCGTGGGGTGCTACGCATCGCCTTCAAAGGGTGCTATGCTGCCAGTCACGTTCACAAGCCCTACGTAGGACCAGCAGGTCCTGATGAATTCTGTTACGCTCTTCGTTATTTTCCAAAGAGCAATTAACTTGAAAATACTGGTAATTACAGTGTCTTCAGTTGAAATACAGTTTCCATTTTGCTTTATTTAGAGAAACCGTGGACATTTAAACGATCATTTTGGTTAAGTCAGGTAGGAGGGAATCAGAGCTGCCGTTGCCCTTCAGTGGAGATAGTGACAAGGCAGAAGGGACAGCCGTTCTTGGGAATGCAGGCAGCTGTAAACGGTGAAGTTTACTCTTGCTGTCTGATTGCATTGGGTGATATTTTCAATTAGTGGCTTGATGTTAAATCTCTTTGGGTTTCCCTCACTTTAACGGGAATGCTCTAGTACAGAGCTTGTCAGGTTTATGCTGTGATGGGCTGGATGTGAGTGTTTTCAGCTTTGTGTGCCAGTCTCTGTTGGAGCTACTCGGTTCTGTTGTTGCAGTGTAAAAGGAGCCACAGGTGATACGTAAATGAATGGGTGGAGCTGTCTTCCAGTAAAATTGTTTTATAAAAACAGGTGCAGGCTGGAAATAAGCTGTGGGCCATAGTTTACCAGCTCTTGCTCCGCTAGTATTTCCCGGGTAAGAGAGACTCTGGTGTTTAGGTTGATTTCATACATAGACACTCATACACAAAGAATTTTTTTTGTTTTAAATCACATTAAAGAAATTTTCCCCATTTTGTATTTTATAGGTTTCTGGTAAGAACATTTGTTGAGTTTTAAAGTCTTGTTAGCACCAATGGAAATGACATAATGATTTTTTACTTTTGGCCTAGTAATCGTGAGCAGTTATTCTGTTACTCGATTTCCTAATATTCAACTACCCTTACTACTTCTTATAATTAACCCAGCATGATCACATAGTCATGGTTTATTGTTGTTTTAATGAGCTGCTAGATTCTTTTTGCTGGCATTTTACATAGGATATTTATATTCAGAGCTGTGTGAATTTTCCCTATTTGTGATTTTTTTTTTTTTTTGGTCTTGATAAGTTTGATACTCAGCTTTGCTAAAAGAGTATATAAATATATTTATATACATTGTATCTTTTGGTGTTTAAATAGCTTCTTATTTCTGTAAAGGCTGTTAGTATTTGTTTGTGAAACCTTTCAGGCTTGGTATTTTGTTTTGAGGAAGTATTTCTTTGATAATTAAAATTTCTTTATGATGATGATTGGTTGGTTCTAATTTAGTCTGTGAAATCTATTTTAGTAAATATATTTTCTTAGGAAAAAACTATTTCAACTTGTACAGACATCAAATTTTTACTTCTCAAAAAATATAAATTTCCAGCTTGAGATTAATTCTATATGAAAATCTGGAAATAAAAAACATTAGAAAATTTGTGAAGAAAGGAATTTACAAACAATTGGTTTTGATAGTGGTAGGTTGAGGTGGCTTTTTTTTCCCTCTTCCTAACTTTATGTTTGATCATCTTTAATAATTATTATTAGTTTCAGTTCAGTTCAGTTGCTCAGTCGTGTCTGACTCTGCGACCCCATGGACTGCAGCACGCCAGGCCTCCCTGTCCATCGCCATCTCCTGGCGCTTACTCCATTGAGTTGGTGATGCCATCCAACCATCTCACCCTTGTCGTCCCCTTCTCCTCCTGCCTTCAGTTAGTTAGTTTACTAAGTATTAAATTTTCTGTATGTAATTTGTGAAGAATTTCGTACGTAATTTTTCGTATGTAACTATCATGCAACGAACATTTACTGAGCATGCAGTACATGCCAAGCATTGTACTGGATCCTGGGATTGTATCAGTGAACAAGACAAAGTTCCTTCATGATGTTTATGTGGTGGTGGGAGCGGCAGGTAAGATAGAAATAATTGTAAATCGCAAACTGATAATTAACGGTGAAGGGAGTAAAACACAGATGTAATAAAGCAGTCGATAGGTGCTTACATTAATGAGAGTAGTCAGGGAGGACTTCTCTTAGGAATTGACTTTTGAACTGAGTTCTAAAAGATGAGAAATAGCAATTAGTTGAGGGAGAGCTTTCTAGGCAGTAGGAAAGAGAAGAGCAGAGGTACAGTGAAAAGGAGAGGGCTTGGCATGTCAGAAAGTAGTGGGGCTGAAGCAGATGAGTGAAAAAGAGTAATATGAGAGGAAGTGGGCAGGAACCAGACTGAAGAACATACAGCAGCTGGAATTATTCAGAGAGCAATGAGATTTTAAGTGTGGAGAATTAACTGATTTAACACACATTTTTAAAAGATCAGACAGCTCCGTGGAGATTGAATTGGAAAGGGACTAAAGTAAAAAAGAAGATAAGAGTGAGTTAGGCTGTCAGGGGTTATCTGGTAGTGAGAATTTTAAAAGGTAAACAAGTTTGGGACTATTTTTGAGTTATAAATATTAAAATGAATTGGGTGTGAGATGAGGGAGAAACCAGTCAGTTATGACTGGGTATTCTCTTTGTGCCTTAGGTGGACGTTCATGTCATGGACTAAGATGAGGAAGCCTGGGGAGAGAATTGGGAAGTAGGAACTCCTTTCCAGAATTTTAAGTGCGTTAGACATGCATTGTGGAGAAGGCAGTGGCACCCCACTCCAGTGCTCTTGCCTGAACAATTCCATGGACGGAGGAGCCTGGTGGGCTGCAGTCTATAGGGTCGCAAAGAGTCAGACACGACTGAGCAACTTCACTTTCACTTTTCACTTTCCTGCATTGGAGAAGGAAATGGCAAACCACTCCAGTGTTCTTGCCTGGAGAGTCCCAGGGACGGGGGAGCCTGGTGGGCTGCCGTCTATGGGATCGCACAGAGTCGGACACGACTGAAGCGACTTAGCGGCAGCCGACATGCATTGTAGATGGCAGGAGGCACGTGAATATTTAGCTTATAACTTTAAGGGAGGTGTCCTGAATTGTAGTTAGATGTACAGATAAATGAGTACAAACAGAAACACATTTGGAAGTCATCTAGTGCTTGCATCAGTATCCTGCAATAAAAGATCCAGAAATTTGATTTAAAAAAATAGAAGTCAGTTGGTGAGAAGGGCAGAACTAATACGCTGTAGAGCAGTAGTATTTCAGTTGATGGGAAAAGATCAGAGTTGAAGTGTATACTTTGAGAGAAGTCTGAAAGTTAGCTTTTGACATAAGCTAAATTTGTATGGTAAAATTTTAAGGGTAGCCATTATAAGAATAAATACAGAGTATATGTGTTAAAAACCTGTAGACAAGGAAAAAAGAAACTTGAGACATGAAAAACTAACATTTAAAGTCAATCCAAATAACAGTAAAGAAAGGAAGAAAAAGCATTAAAACATGGAAGAAAAATAGAGATAAAAAAAGCAGCACATAAGAAAAAGTTCTGTAATAAACATAAACTGTTTACTCTCTGCTTGTGAAAGATAAAGCTTCAAATCAGTTAGGTTTTTTAAGTTAAATGTTGTTTACAAAACCCACACTTAAAGCATTAGCATACAAAAAGGTTGAAAGTTAAAGGACAGAAAATGGTATTTCAGGGAAATACTAACTAAAAGAAAATGCACTAATCATAGGAGCATTAGCAAAGTAGACTTAAAGACAGAAAAGCACTTTTGGGGAGGGTGAAGGTAACTACATAATAAGTCCAATTTTCCAGTACAGTGTAGCAGTTTTAAACTTGAATGTACCTAATAAAATAGACTCAAAATATATAAATCAAAATTTAATCAAACTAGAGAATGTTGACAGATTTTCTGTCATATTAGAAAAATTTTAAATACCTTTCTGAATTTCTAATTTATGGATACAAAAAATTAATTGCAGATTTGAGCAACTCATTTAAACATGATTTAATGAACACTGCGTGCTGTGGAATACAAAAACACACAAAAAGTGAATGTGTACTATAGACTGCAAAGCACAGATTAACACATTTCAAAGAATCAGCATCCTGCAGACCGTTTTCTCTGACCATAATGCAATTAATTTTATAAATAAATAATACATATGTGTGTGTATATATATATATATATAAAACCCCCTTTGCATTTGAAAGTATCCATGCTTCTAAAAAAACAGTAGGACAAAGAAGAAAGCATACTAGAAGTTCAAAAAGCATACAACTCAATGATAATGAAAAGACCACCATTCAAAAACTGTGGGATTATAGTGAAATTGATAAATTTATCTTTATACATACTTATGTTAGAAAAAAAGCAAAAGCTGAAGATGGAGTAGCTATGCATTTAACTTAAAAAATAGAAAAGGAATGTTAGAATAAATAAACTAAGGTAAGGAGATAAGAATCAGGGAGAAGATAAGAACAAAAGTCAATAAAATTAGAAAACAGTAACAGTAGAGAGAATCAAAGAAGCCAAAAGCTGATACTCATGAGACATTCCACTTGATAGTGAACAGGAAAATAAAGATGACACAGGTGAGTGATGTGGGAAGGGGACAGGGCTGCAAAACCAGTGAAGGTTATATGGACCAAGAAGAACACCGTGATCTTAGAAGCAGTACATTTGAAAACTTAGAAGTTGACAAATTCCTAGAAAAATGGAATTCGTCAACACTCACTACCCTAAATAATATGATAACTATTACAGATACGTAATCAGTGGTTTATAATCTTTCCATGGAGAAAATAACTGATCCAAATGGTTTTAGAGCTGAATTCTCTTAAATTTCTCTCTAAACTTTCAAAGGTCATATCACACTACTCTTCAAGAGAATGAGAAAACAACTATTTCTCCAAGTCATTCAAATAAGGCCAGTATAACCCTAGTACCAAAAGAGTATGTGAAGAAAATTATAAGCTTTAAACTTTAATTCATTAAAGTATGCATCAGACTCTTAAACAGAATTATTGGAAATCTGAATTTGTTAAGTGTATTTTTTTAACAGATAAAACTCAGTTACCAGTTTGAGTTTATTCCAGGTATATAAAAGTAGTTTTATGTAGAATAGCTATAAATGTTATCACCACATTAGCAAAATACAGGAGAAAATTCAAATGACAAATTCTGTAGATTTTTTTTTTCCTGTGGGGAAAAAACAAAACCACTTGTAATGTTCAGCATCTCATCATGATAAAAGTTTTGAAACTAAAATCAGAACAGAATTTCCTTGCCCTCATAAAACCTATCTAAAAAAATAGAAATAATTTTCAATAAAGAAGCATTAAAAAAACTTCCCCCTTAAGATCAGGAGTAAGACAAGTGTACCATTTCTATGGCCATTGAGGAGGAAGTGTTAGCATGGCAGGATGGGAGAGTAATAAAAGATAACAAAGATAGAAAAGAAGAGAACCAGATTAGGAAACTGTACTTACAGTATACAGTCTTAATGTGCAGAGTGCATAGTGAGCTAGAAATTAGTAAGCAGAACTTAGTCTGACTGTAAAATGATCAAAACCTTGAGCAGATAATTCATTGAAGAGGAAATAGTAACAGTGAATAAAAATATCAAAAGATGCTTAGATCATTAGTAGTCAGGGGGTGTATATTAAGAACTCAAGGAGGGCCCCTACTGGTGGTGTGGTGGTTAGGACTCTGTGCTTCTAATGCAGGGAGTGCAGGTTCAATCCCTGGTTGGGGAACTAAGATCCCACATGCTATGTGGTGCAGCCAAAAAATAAAAACAACAACAACAAAAGGATCACAAGGAGGTGTCTTCTTTTAATCATGTGTTGTATTAACAGTGTCAGGTGTTTTGGAGGATGTGAATCAGTTCTTACACACTGCTTGTTGAGATGGATATTACCCAAGTATTAATTAATAAGCAAAGTTAATGTATACATACATAGAGTATTACACAGCAGTGGTAATGAATGAAGTTACATACAGAAATATGATGAATCTTAAAGATAGAATGCTGAGTAAGAATAACCATTCCTGGGAAAATGTGTATCATACCTATTTCATAAAGTTTAAAAACAGGCAGTAGTAAATATCTTGTTTAAGTATAGAATACATCTTTCACAAAGCAGTGGAATGAAAACAGCATCAACATGATGGTGCTTTGCTCTGGAGTGTCCGGCCAAGGGGGCAGAAAAAGTGTGGAACACAAGGTGTATCCTAGTCAGTGGTAATAGTCTAGTTCCTGGCCTGGGTTGTTGGTCTGTGGTTGTTCAGTATAATATACTGTATAACTAAAATAGGTTGTATATATTTTGCATTGGGGAAAAAAAAGGAATTAAAAAATGGAATTGAAGATGAGAAAACGAAGATACCCAGTTCTTTACAAAAGGGAAGAGATTCCAAGTGGATTTTGGACCTAGAAAAGGGCTGTCCTCAGCCCTAAAAACCTAGAAACATGATTGTTTGCTTATAGAATTTTCAAGGAGAAAGTAACTGACTGATAATTAGAGTAAAGGTAAGTGAGGTTCTTGAGAAGATGATCCAGAGCTCAGGAAGACGGCCTCTAGGATCAGAGAGAGACTCCTCCACTGTAGCTCGTCGGGAGGCAACAGGTGGTCCTGGGTACCTCTGACCCTGTTGTTCAGTAGTGGGGAGGTAACAGGTGGTCCTGGGTACTTCTGTTGTCCTGTTGTTCAAAATTTTTTTTTTTTTTTAAGATCAAAATTCCTTTTGTTATGCTATCAGGCCAACTCTGGTCCAACCACAGTGCCGCTCTTCTAGCCTGATCAATTTTGTGTTGAATGATGAATGAACTTTATGTAATACTTTGAGAGCATGTGCCACATGGCACTTATTTTCTGTTTCTACAACTGTGTTATCATGAGTTGTGAAAGACAGAAACAAGTGTTTAAGCAAAATATGTAGCCAAGGATTATTTATATAGTTGAAATAGTATTAATGACATTATCGTTTAGATTCAGAATAATTTCTTATTTTACTTTTCGTCTTTGAATTTAAAAAACTCATAAATTAATATTTCTTATACTGAATAATTTTCAACCAAGGATTTGAGTTTTATGATATCTGAATTACAGCGTAACAGTCATTTTGATAGCTGTATAATTTTTAAAAATGTATTTCTTGTAGGTGTACATTGAAATAACAGACATTTCCAAGGACTATTCTAGGCTTAATCTCTAAATTATTTGGCTTTTAAAAGATTTTCAAGGGTTGGTTATTGTATTTGCAACACAGAGAGAACCTATTAAGTGTCAAGCGCATGTTTCAGGGAGTGAGGCTCTAATGAGTGCGCTGGGCTCAGGCGTGTCTGACTCTGCGACCCCATGGACAGAAGTCCACCAGGTTCCCCTGTCCGTGGGGTTCCCCAGGCAGGAACACTGCGCTGGGTTGCCCTGCCCTGCTCCAGGGTAATGAGGAAAGACAGCATTTTATGCCCTTGAGAAGTTGCCAGTCTAGGAGGAGGCAAGTGAGTCCCAGGAGAGTTAGGGGACACTTCCAGGCAGCCTCAGAGAGCTGTGAGAAGAGACTGCTGCGCAGGGACTTTTAGTTTGATTTGTACTTTAAAATTGTTTGAGGCTTAATTTTACTGAAACTAAATTATGCACAAGAAAGCATCTACTGTCTTAATGTATTAGACATTAAAAATTTAACAAAACAAAGCATATTTTGGGGTATGCTCATTTCTATCATTTTATTAGACTAAATTGTATAAACATGTTATTCTGACGTGTACTTGAGGAGCAAAAATTAAACATTTATGGATTTAGGTGTAGAAGGAGATAAGTTTCTTTGTATTGAAAATGGGTTGATTCTTGTATGTGGGCATTGTCTACATCTCTTTCATAAATGTTTTTATCCCTAAAGTTAAATTTGCACATTAGAATGAATAGAGTTTTAATTGGCTGTTCTTCAAGTTGAGATACATAAAATTGTTGTATAACATTATTTCTCATTTAAACCCAATCTAAAATGAAACTTTCCTGAGACTATCTTATTTAACCTCCTTTTGGTATACTAAAAGGTATATTTTTGTCAAATAAAATGAATAAGAAAATTCTACTAGTATAATTGTCTTATTTGTGAATTTGAAAGTAGCTTTTGTTCAGTGTTTGCAGCCTTGAAATGCCATTTTTTCTTATGTATTATAATTATTAATTTTTCTCAGTTTGGTCTTCGTGTCCAAGTTTTTGGTGTTTTGACTTTTCCATGAGTATTTTCTTTATTGTGTGTGTTGTGAAGTTTAGCAATCAGTTTATCTTTGGCTTCAAAATTTTGTATCATGTTTAGAACGACACTGAGATTTTTGTGAAAATTTCTTTTGCGGTCCTTCTAGTACTTGATTTTTTAGAGGTATTGAAGGCAGGCATGCATTTTTATAAAACAGATCTGGAATTTATTTAAGGCTAAATAGTGACATCAAAATGTAATGTCCCTCCCTCCCCCCACGTGGATACCCAGTTATCTCAGTGTCATTTATCAAGTGGTCTTTTCCCCTGTTGTTTTGAAATACTTTCATTTTTCTTATTTTCTTTATCTGTGTCATTAATTTGTCTATCCCTGTTTCTGTTAGCTTATTTTCTAGTGGAAGAATGACTAAAAGTAAACATGAAAATGATAAGTAAAAGGAAGGTCTATAAGGAAAATAAGCAGAATGCTATATATCAGCAGTGACTGGTGAGCTGCTTAAAATGAGTGGTCAAGGCAGGCTTCCCTTAAAGAAGTGACATTTCCTGTGATCTGAGAACCAGGCAGGGGAGTGGCAGTGTGTAACCGGTGAAAGTGCATTTCAAAGGTGGAGGGAGTGTCTGCAAGGTGGGCTGATCTCCACGTGCTCCGGGGAGAGAGAACAGCGGGAGAGTAATGGGGGGGGGGGGGTGGGGGCGGCGGTTATTGTAACTGAGGGAAACTACTCAAGATTGGGACCTAACAATTCAGATTACGTAGGGTGTTTTTCTTATTTTTCTCCTGCAAAAAGAAAATAGAGTATAGATAATATGTATCAAATAAACATATTCTTAGGTAATTAGGAGCTATTTCTTTATACATATGACCCAATAACAAATTTGCTTCCCTTTAAAATAATTTTACATCTAAAGAAGGCAGATTTGTTAGAATCATGTAAGTACCAAGAATTTAGAATTCAAATAAAGTATCTACTTGCACTAAAGAGAGCTCTTTAAAGAAAAAATTTATGATGTATTTTAAAATAATAATACTTTTTCTTCCATGAAAATGTTTGTATTAGGGAACAAACATCCTTGGAAGAGGGAGAAATTCCTTGGTTACAGTACAATGAAGTCAATGAAAGCAGCAGTGATGAAGGGAATGAGCCGGCTAATGAATTTGCACAGCCAGAAGCTTTCATGTTGGATGGTAACAATAACCTTGAGGATGACTCCAGTGTGAGTGAAGACTTGGATGTGGACTGGAGGTACGTAGCACAGTGTGCGCCCCGTGCTCACTGATCACTGAGTAGAATTCGTTCATGAGTCTAAATTTTGAGGCCCGCATCTCTGACAGCTGAGAAGCATTTCCATTGTTCTCGTCTGTCAGTCTCCCTCCCCTTCCAAGCTCATCGCAGACGCTGCCCCCTGCGTGGACTGTAGCCACTGACCTGTTCCCCTTTGCCATTAGCTCTGCGGCGCTTGCCTTGCCTCCCAGTCGCTCACATCCGTGCTCGGGTGCACGCCTTTTAAATTCGGCGTTAAAGACGGTTTATGACAGACATACACTGTGTGTCCTGATCCCCTTAATATAGCGCTTGATACAATCCTGTAAAACGTAAAAGTCCACGATGAGTACTACTTGAGGAATTTCGAAACCTGTGATGGAATCAGAATCAAGACTGTAGTTTTCCTTCTGTATTTGCAAAACATGGAAGATACAATTGTACCTTCCCAGAGATGCTGAATGAATTAAATTTACTTCATGCTGCAAAGAATAGTGAGCTTCAAATAAAAGTAACATATACATTAAATGGATTATAGAATTGTTACTGTTTGTGATTGAATGAATGATCAGAATTTATCTGTTTTGGTTTATAAACTTAGACTTTTTTTTCCAAGTGTGCAGAGCCCTCTGAAATAATTACTGAGATGTAGAGAGAATGTTTGTTCCAGCTACTCCGTTTTTGTTATTTTCTGGAAAAAATTATGGCTTGATGCTACCCTTATTTTCATCTTTGCACAGATATATTTTTAAGAATTTGTCTTGTTTTTCCACTTAAAATTCCATTACAGAAAATTTAGAAAAGTAAAGGTAAGAAACTCATTCAGACCCCTGATAATATATTTTTAGGGCCTTCTTTGTGCCTTCAGTTTCTCTTTCTGAATGTTTTTCTTTGTACTTCTCTAAATTGTTCCAGACACGAAACTCAGTGTCTCCATGATTCTCCTTGCTGATCTCTCTCCCTCCCCAGGGGAAGAATCAGAGCAGACCTTAGTGACCCTGCTACAGAAGCAGAAGTGGGCCTTCCTCACAGCCACACAGTTAGCTTGTAACTCATCCTAAAGACTCCTCTGAGGCCTGTGTCCTGTCTCCCCAAGCATAATGGAGTCAGTGACCTGACCTAGTCCTCGTCCGTGACCTTGAGCACCCCCTTGATTTCTTCCCTCCTTCATTCTGCCCACTCCCCTGTTGCTGAGCTTGTTCGTCCTGCCGTGTTTCCTGATGGCATCACGCACAGCCATCTCTGACAGTGCTCAGCAGGGTTGTCTGTTCAGCATTGTCTCTGCATGTTGGGAGACACGGGTTTCATAGGAGAAACACTATAAATGCTCCATCCTACAGAGGCACTAACAGTTACTTGATGATTTCCTTGTTGAATAGTGCAGTAAATTTGTCACCCGTAAAACGTGGTCTGTACATCAGGTTGTTTCCTTAGGACAGGTTAATAAGAGGTGATATTACTAACGTGATTATTTTTTTTAAGATCTTGATATATATATTTCTAAATAACCTTCAAAAAAGGTTTCTCATAAAAATTTGAAGAAATGATTGAGGTCTTTATTGAATGAATTTTAACTTAAATTTGAAAGCTTCTAATTCACTGATGATTGTTCTGGATATGGCTGTTGTGTTAAGATTGTAAAGACATTACTGATTGCTCCCCAAGTTGTGAAGCTTCAAAGTAGTTTGTTTTTTTTTTTTAATATGGAAAACAATTTAGCATTAATTTTTAAGACAAAATTTTTGAAGTTATTGTTCTGAATTTTGTCTAAATATGGCAACACCTCGTTATTTGATTTGGTGGTATTCTGTTTGATTTATGTGGTAGTAGCTAAATGTTGATAAGGTAAAAATATGGTTTGATTTTCACATTAAAGTAGCATGTCATTTTGGCATGTTAAAGGAATAGCCATGGTGAACAGCAGCAATTCTTATGTAACTCCAAAATTTAACGCTTTTTTTTTTTTTTTTCAGTTTTGCCTCTGCATAGAAAAAAAAAATGAAAGCCTTTGGTTTTTTATTTTGGCTTAAAGGAAAATGGAAAAAATCCTCTATCAAAAGTTTGCGTGTTTGTTTTCATTAACTCACAGAAATAATAGTCTCACAGAGACTATTTCATGGATTTGTGTGGCAGGAGTTGATGTGGAGAAAACAGATTTTAGATTTAGACACATCCCAAATGTACCATCTATTTATTCTTTGGTAACAATTTAAGCTTTCTCTTGGTTAGAAATTGGGTTGCAATTATTATTTTTTAATAATCAACCTAATAAGTTGAGGCATAATAATTAACCTAATTAGACTGTGAGAAATTAATTCTTTATGGCTGTAATCATGGTTCAAGAGTAGAATTTTTAAAACTCTTGAAATTATTTCAGAGTTACAGAAAAATGGCAAACAACAGTACAGAAAATTCCCATATACCTTTCACTAAGATTCTGTAAATATTTTTACCACATTCATGTTGCCATTCTTTCCTTTATTTATATTTTTTTCTGATTCATTTAGTAAGTTGCAGACATGATTGCCTCTTTACTTATAAATCACCTAGAATGAATTTCATTAAAACGGGAACATTTTCTTAAATAATACAGTAAAATTGTAAAAATCAGAAAACACTGATACAAGTACTATTCTAATCTACAGAACTATTCAAATGTCCATAATTGCCCCACTAATGCCATTTGAGAAATTCTTTTCTGATGCAGTCCAAGGTATGTTAGTTAACATGTTTTCTTTCGTTTCTTTTAATCTGAAACATTTCCTCAGTCTTTGTTTTTTTATGAATTTGGTATTTTTAAAAGTGCAGGCCATTTATTTTGTAGAATGACTCAGGTTAATTCTATCTGATGACATAGTTAGATTTGAGTTGTACAATGTTAGCAGGCATACCATAGAAGCAGTGTTCTGTTCTCTGCCTGATGACATAGTTAGATTTGAGTTATACATTTTTAGCAGGCACACCATAGAAGCAGTGTTCTGTTCTCAGTGCATTTCAGAAGGCATGTGGTATTGGATTGTCCCAGGATGATATTAATTCTGATCACTTGGTGCAGGTAACTGTCTCTCAGATCTCGTCACTTTGGTTGCCATTTTTATCTTTATAATTAAATAAGCATCGGATGGGAAGATAACCTGTTTCCTCTCAAACTACTGGTTCTAGTGTCCTTGGTGGTTCTTACTAAGACAGTTATTACCATGGTGTTTACCAAGTGAACAATACTGGAATGTTTAATGTTCGCTGATCATTCCTCAGTTACCAGATTACAACCAAATTATGCTCTGAGTGTCTAGATTTGTTTAGCTTAGACACGAAAATTATTAGGAGATAGTTGACTCTCATCACTTGAAAGAGGAAAGTGGACATAGTTTGTTGTTTCAGCAGGCAGAACTAGAGCACTTAATTCAAACTTCTAATGAGGGTTCTCCCATACCACATGCACCTGCTTAGAAAGCAGTATGTTTCCTGCATGGAGGAAGTGGTTCTGCTGTTTCTTGAATGCCTCATCTGTTTGGAAATTAGGTAGAGGCTTAGGAATTATCTGCAGAAAGGATAATTGAAGGGATGGAATTCCAACAGAACAAGATTTAGAAAGAAGACTGAGCATATCTTATGTTTTCTGAATCTTGGAGTATTTAGTATTTCCAAGACTGGAGGAAAGGGAGGAATCTGTGTATATATATATATAAAGGTGAAGGGGAGAAGATGAGAACCAGATTAAGACATAATTTTGTCTTCAAGTGGCTTACAACCCTTCAGAGTAATAGAAGTGAGCAGTTAAGAGCTCAGATCTTTTTCAAACTGAATGGTAAGGGAGAAACCCTAGTCCTTAGAAAAATAAAAGATAAATTGATGAGAAAAACTTGAGAAAATAAAGTATTCTTAAGCCCAGAGTGATTAAGCAGTACAAGGTAAGAGAAGAAAAAGGCTTTGAACAATGATAGAATTAAAATAGATGGAGTAATTCTTATCATGTTCTCACTAAAATTTAAATTGGAAACCAAAATAAAGGGGGAGGACATGGGAAAGAATTAGTAGAGAAAAAGTATTGCCTTTATCCCAGCCATACACAGTTCCCAGAACTAGAACTAGAAGCAGTAGAGAATTTTCTTAAAACTTTGTGCAGTGAGTGTGGCAGCCTGTTAGGGATGGGAATGGTATCTTAAATCCTTACACCTAGCATTTAACTTTCTGTTGGGTTCTTCTTAAGGTTTTCTGCTTGTGTGTTTATTGGCTTGTCAGTATGCTAGTATATAATTATGTCTTCACTATAAAGGTTTCTCAAATCACGGTTGTACTTTTCTTCCCCCAGCTTGTTTGATGGCTTCGCAGACGGACTCGGAGTTGCTGAAGCTATTTCTTATGTGGATCCTCAGTTCCTCACTTACATGGCGCTGGAAGAGCGCCTAGCCCAGGCTATGGAGGTATTTTAGTGCTCTGGTACCCATATGTGGTTGATGCACAGTGATAAAAATTAAAGATTTTTCTAAACTGCTTTTAAGAAAAGGTGAATAATTTTCTTGCCAATATAATAACAATTACCGAGTGGTGGTTCAGTGTGTGTATATAAATTATACTTGCCATCCTGCCCATTTGCCTAAAATTACAATATTCTCCAGTATCTACTGCAGAATATAGTATTTGTTTTGTTTACATTTAAGAAATACATTTCCTCTATTGAATTATACAGGTCTGTGAATCTGAAATTTTTTACACATGTACACACAAGTATATTTGTTAAATGAAATTAAAGATATCTAAAGATATATTTCAAATTACTTCTCTTTTTTGGTTCGTATGGCTTCTGAATCTATCTAGCTGCTTAATGCAATTGGAAAATTTACTCCCCCTCATCCCCACACACATACACAGGTTCATAAACATGGCACATTTGGTGCCTATTTGTCTTGCCTTCTTTGCTTTGTTTGACCAAAACACAAATAGCTTCTTCAAAATTGTATGTGGCTGTGATCCAAAGCCCAAGCTTTTTCATGTTTGGGGACTGGCATTACACCAGTGAATGTCATTGTTAAGAAGTCTTTTAATCAGTCTCCATAGTGATTTCCAGTGGAAGAATAGTAATAACATGAATGAGTCAAAAGTAAAAGAACCAAAAGTTCCTGAGAGAACTTTCAGGAACACTGTAATGGTATCTTGAAATCTCATGAATTAGATTTGTAACGTAGGTAACAGAAAGAGACAGACCTGTTTACCTACACATATGCACACCCACATGCATGTGTACACACAAAAGTTACCTCTCGTGTACTGCTTTGGTGCCACTGAGGCGTGTGTAACCTCCGATGGAGATCATTGTTCTTAGTTACTCTTTGTATTGTATGTTTTTCTCAAAGTGATCATAGCAGAAATATTATGTATCATGGTGGTCATTTTGAAATGTATAGAAATACCCAATCACTATGTTGGTAGTGTACTAATGAACTAATACACTGTTGTAGGTCAATTATATATTGAAAACAAACAAACTCAGGAAAAGAGATGAGGTGTGTGGTTACTAGAGGCAAGGGGTTGCGGGGAAGAGGGAATTGGATGAAGGCAGTCAGAAGCATAAACTCCCAGTTACATGATGAATGACTGCTGGAGCTGTGATGTACAACATGATAAATATAATTAACACTGCTGTATATTAACATTATATGTGAAAATTGTTGAGGGTAAATCTTACAATTTCTCATTACAAGGAAATCATTTTTTTCGGTTTCTTTTAATTTTTCATCTATTGAGATGATGGGTGTTGACTAGACTTCTTGGGATAATGGTTTCATAATGTAGTCTATGTCAAATCATCATGCTATATGCATCAAATTTACGTGGTACTGTATATCAATTATATTGCAGTAAAACTTGGAGGGGGGGAATACTATATACTAGAAGAAAAGTTAGAACATCATGAGACAGAATTATATATTCTTAGGACTTTTCCCAGGTTATATAACTTGCCTTGCCAAATGCTGACATGAAAACAGTGGCACAGCATAATAACCTCCATCAGAAATAGAATATATAAAGATTGAAGATTACTAACTTCCTTGAGTTAAACAAATTTTAAGTGACCACTTGGAATACATCAGTATTAGAGTCTGGTTTTGCAGTGCTTAGATAGTTTTTTTCCCATTATGCTAGTGGTTTATGATCTCCTACAATGTGGTAATATCTTTAGAAAGAAGCTTTGAAAATTAAAAACTTTATTACTTGTTATTGATGAGAAGTGTGACGCTTGGCATCTTGAAAGAAGAGCCAGAGAGGCTTGTCATGATGGTCATGCTGAGTAAAGGCACTAGCCGCACTGCAAAGACAGGAGACAGGAAAGAGCATCGCATGTCCGGGGAGCTTAGACTCTTACTGCCGCCCTCTGCTCTCGGGGCCCCCGTGGCTGTGCGCACTCAGTCACCTATCTGTGTTTCAGATTAGCGGCGTTAAATGTCTCCCTTCCCCACAGCATAACTGTGTCTTCAGATTTAGTGCTCAGCTTTACTTTTTTTGGATTTGACTGAGACATATTTCACTCCTAGAGAACCAGTACAGTTCCTTCTTCCTGTCAGACTCTAGAAATCTTTATTTGTCTAGGTCTAGCATACACTTATTTAATAATTTTGAAAAATGAACTGAAATAATTTATAATTTAGGATTTTTCCTTTTAGATTTAACACTAACATTTTGTAAATAAGTGAAAAACAAGTGTGAATAATAAGACAAACTGATCATTTTGTTTTTGTTTTCTTAGCAACACTATCTCTCTTTGGCAGTGGTTGTTTTCATTTCTGTTATTTTTCCAACACTAGACTGACCTTTCTTTTTGCGTAGTAGCTATTGATTAATATATTGGCAATAAACATTTTCCTCATATCTTTCTCAGATTTGAGTGAGAAATAGGGCAAAATATTTAATATTTTTAACTGTTTGAAACAGTGGTATTAAAACTTTTTACTCAGTCTCCCCAAAATTTAAGGATTCCTTTGTATACCTTGACACCGACATCTCAAGATTTTTAGCATAAAACCTAAGTAACATGATTTAACCTATTATACCAGTTTGCAGTAAAAATATCTTCAGGAATTTAAATGTAAAAAAAACTGGTGTAGATTGAGTTAAAGTTGTTTGTGGTATCTACTGATCAAGAACAAACATATACAAATTTTATATATAATTACTTAAACATAAAGTAAACTTTCATTAGAAATGCATCTCTTAATGACATGGAGGCTTTTTTTATCCTTCCTGATTGAGTGAATTTTACTTATTTATAGAATGAGACATAAGTCAGCATGAACTTTATTTCTACTTTTCATCTTTATGAATGAAGGTTGAGAAACCTTATTCAGATAAATCAGTTGGTAGGGATGGACGGAATTTATCATAGCATTGTCACTGAATTCTTCTGAGGTATTTGCCAAAATCCCCAAAACTTGTTGAGAGCCTCCTTCAGTTTTTTTTTGAAAGTGGAAAATTGGAAGTCATCCGCAAAGATTTGTTTTTCAGTCATTGTAGTTCAGTTTGACCCCACTATTTCAGATTGCCCCTCTGAATGGGAAAGAAGTATGCTTTTATTTATAAAGTGGAAAAAAAGGTGAGTATAAAAAAGGAATGTGGAGTAGGAGAGCCAGCATGATAGTGTGATTGGAGATACATTGTTAGGCAGATTCCTTTGAAGAAAGATTACATAAGAAAGTTAATTGAAATTTGGTCTCTTAAGACTCTCCTTACCCATAAGCCCTGAGGAAAATCTTTGCAGTTTTATAGAGCACTTATATACACTGGGGTGTAGGCCTTTGAAAGATAGTAAATGAGATAAACACATAGACTTTTGAGTTAGAGCAATTCTTTTAGGCAATGTGACCTTGGATAGTTGACTTAACCTCTTTAAAGTTGTAGGTCCTCATCTACAAAATGCAAATAACAAAATTTTGAACGTAGCAAAATACCTGGTGCTGTCACAAGCTCTCAGTAAATGGCATTATTCAAAAATGCCTTCAAATGATCAGTCAGCCAAGTGGTAATCATCCAGCAAGTCTGGAATTAGTGGTCCTTCAAAGTCCATGATAAATCATTTGGTATAAATCTTCATTCTTTGTGGAGAGGGAGATGGGAGGGGGGACCGGGATGGGGAATACATGTAAATCCATGGCTAATTCATTTCAATGTATGACAAAAACCACTGCAATGATGTAAAGTAATTAGCCTCCAACTAATAAAAATAAATGGGAAAAAAAACCAAAAAACAAATAACAAAATCCACTTAAGAATAGCATTGAAACCTTAAAAAAAAAAAAACCAAATTATTTTATTCTTTAGAAACTAGATTCTGTGCTAACAAAGGATTGTGCTGCTTTAAGGCTGTTTAGGCCATCCAGTTGTCTTTCTGACACTTGGACTAACGTTTGAATATATATTGTACTAGGTGTAGACAGATTTTTATGGATTTTCATAGCAGTGGCTATAAAGTGGTCTTTCTTGCCCTTGTTGCTTATAAGTGACCCAAGATCATCTTAAATATATGTAAGTGCCAAGACAATAAATTATTTTTACATATATTGAAATTTACAGATTAGTTCTTGCAGAGTTTACCTTGAGAAGTACATAGGGAATTGAAGGACATTCATGATTGCAGCTGTAGTTACTCATGAGAAAGAAGGGACAAGTAACAGCCTCTTACTTTCCATTTCCCTCTCTCTTTACGGGAAAATTTTCATATAAAGAGAACTCATCTGTGCTACACATAAACAAAAAGAAGGGATACTACTTATAGGAAGATCCATTTGGGGAGGTTATTCCAGGTTAACTGTGCTTTAATACATGTTTGTGTCAATGTGTTAATTATTCCTTTCTGATGACTGCATATTTGTAGTACTAATAAATACCTGAGATTTCAATATGTGTAAAAATCACTATAACAAGGGATTAGAATGAAAGGGGAGTGTTTAGTAACAAAGATCGTTCTAAAGAATATAGAAAAAGCACACACAAGGAGCAGGCAGCACCCAGGAGCACCTAGGGAAGAGTCCGCACTGGGCTCGGTGTCTGGCATCCACGCCTTGGTGGAGACGGCACACCCGTGGCTCAGTGAATAGCACAGGAGTCACCGTGGTCCTCAGCTGGCAGGACTCGGGGAAGATCAGCCCTGGAGGGTGGCGTCTGCCTAGAAGGCTCTGTCCGTGGCGGGGGCTGAGGAAGCCTACTGGCCGCATGCCCTGCAAGAGCTGGGTGCAAGAGAAGCGGTGTGCGCTGCAGGAATCTGCTGCTGGAGAAGGCTGTTGGTGCCCCAGAAGCTGGTTGGGCTTCTCACGAGGATCGGGAGCCAAGGCCTTTCCCTGCTCTGCCGGCTCGTCAGCATCCTCATGATAGCTGTCAGGAGGGAAAGTGCGTAAACGGCCCAGACGCATCCTCACAGAGCTCGTGGAAGTAG